ACTATCTTTAAAATATTGATTTCTTAATTTTGGGTTGGAAAAGTGGGGGTCATCTTGTACACGGTTTATTGATGGAAAAATACGGTAATTCCGTCAAATAATGTGAAATAATTTTTTCTTTTCTCACAAAATGTTTCCAAACTTTTACAAGTCTCTTTTGTAAATTCAGTATAAGAAAGTTATCCAGGTCACTCTTTTGGTTTGTTAAGACATCAACCGGTTTCATTTTACAGTGTAGCATCTCCTTCCACATCGTTCCCGTAACCTATCATTTTTAAGTCCACTTTCAAATCAGTTCTATTCAGTAAAAGTTGTTCTATAACGTCTTTTAAATGTAGTCTATCTATATAGGCAGATACTCTTAAAATTAACTTCTGAGTCCATACTTCAAAAATATCCTTCAGTACGTCCAGTGTTAAGGTATTTTGCTCCATTCTGTATTTGTAAGTAAAGTTTGAGTGTTCTGCTTTAAATGTAATCTTTAGATCCCTCTGGTTCCTTCTAGTGTCGAACCTTCAAAGTTCCATCTTATCATGTTTTTTTTTAAAGAATTCGAAACAAAAGCATTTTCCCATGGGAAGGATTCTTATAATTAATTCCAAAATTTTATTTCAAATCTATCTGGATCCTTAGTCTGTTTGTAACTTTCCAAAATCAACTTTCTAATCACCCTTGTGCTGTTTATTCCAAAAAAAGAATTATTAAAGTCCCTAAATTTATATTTAAAACTTCTTTCGCTAAGGATTGAAGGAAACTCACCCGGTGTAGTAAACCTGCAGTTATGTAGGTTCCTAATATCTGAAAAGCAGTTAACAAGCAATTTCCAAAGTGATTAAGAAAGGAAGCATGCGAACCCAGTGTCCTTTGAAAAGGTGCCAACCATGGTTGGGGCAAAGATGGCAATCCCTCATCTCCCAGAGCTCTAAACCTGCAGGAGATTGCTGTCTTATGGTCTCCTCGTGAGGAACAGCTATCAGAGCACTTGTGGGTGATCCCAAATCCTCTCCTCATCTGGAGAGGAATCCTGAAGAGCCGGTTCATTCTGCTGTGGTTGTTGGCTCCACTCTCAGCGGAGCTATCTTCAGTTTGCCATTTCTTCTCCAGAAGTCCTTTACATTAACATCTTTAAAAGATTTTCCACCTTTAAAAGGGTAAATGCAATTTTTGCTTTTGTCATTTGTTTCTGAAATGAAAACTTTATTTATGGGAGAGAAAGAATGCTATGCTTGTTTGACAATTCTAGATAAATATTGCAAGACAGAATGCTTTCAGATGCTTTCAAATAATTTCATATAGCACAATCATATTTGTATTTGTTCAGTCCTGTTAACAGGAAAAAGAGCTTTGATGGCTATCCTCTCATTTCAAAGTATGCACTTTTACAAAATAAACACATGCGCTGTAATTGCAGATTTTAAAAATTCACTAATGTTGAGCAAGATTCCATTGCTTTTGATAGTGATGACCTTAAAGTATACATGCAACTATCTAGTTGAATGTTACTTCCCTTGCTTTTCCTTTACTGCTTGGCTGAGAGGAAAAAAAATATTTTCTTCTTACTCTGCATGGGGGAATAAAGGATATTTTTGTAAAAAAAAATAAGATTCCAGCATGGAAACTAACTATATATTTGGCGGGGGATGGTGGTGGAATACTAATAGAAAACTGTAGATGGACTAGGAGTTGAGGAATGGATGAGACTTGGGAAAAGGAATGGATGGTGAATTGGGAAAAGATGTCAGTATGGACTGGGTCATTGTGTTTATGTGAATGCATCTGAGATTATTGTGAATAGAAGCAAAAATGACTACATAAGGGTGAAGGAAGGTGAGAGAAAAGTGAAACTATTTACTTCTTCAATTGGCTGCATCTCACCAGTTTCGATGAGGCAGGTTGCTTACCCTCAAAAACAGACTGTTAGGGAGAATGAGATTGTGGATCTAAATTAACTTAAGGGTAATATCAGCTCCCTAAAAACTGAATTAAAAAAAAAATCCAGCATGCTAACTGTATTAGAATTACTTTGATTAGTAAATAAAACTAAAAGTGTTCTCCATTAAGGATATGACACACAACATCCTTAGTACACTTTTGTCATGTTACACGACAGGTAGTCCTTGCTTAATGACCATTTGTTTCTTGACAGCTTGAAGATATTGTGGCACTGAATGAGTGATAGTTATACTGGGTTCCTGAAGTTACAGCCATTGCAGGACCCCTGCGGTCATGTGATCAAAACTTGGGTGCTTGGCAGCCCGCCTGCACTTTTTTTAAAATATATTTTTATTAAGAATATTAATTACAATAGTAAAAATGAATACAAACTGAACTTAGAGGAAGAAAATAGAATGAAAAGAAAGAATAAAAAGTGTAAGAAAAAAGAAAAAAAATATAAACAAAAATTAATATATAAATAAGTTACTTCCAACCTAAATAACAAGTATAAACCAATTTAATAATTCTTCACTCCCTATAAGGTTAAACAGATATTTCTTCATCCTATATTCCATCACTTATCTATAAGGAAATCCATAAAACATCAACTTTTCAATCCTGGTGTCAGCAAAAAGTCCATGAAGGGTTGCCAGAACATTACTTAAAAAAAGGTCTTATTTTAACCTTTATCAAATAAACCAACTTTATATTTCTTCCTTTTACTTTTCATCTTTAATTCAGTCAAATATTGTCATAGGATTTGATTTTTCTTCAATTCTTTATCCCATCATACAGATTTCTTCAAGGCTTTAACAAGCCTCTTTTGTTGATCGAATAACATTTTCCAGGTCATTTTCTTGGTTTATTATTTCTATTTCCCTTTTAATTTTTAAAAATTCAGCAAGTTTCTTTTGTATATCCAGTAAAGTGTCCTTTTCCAAATCATTCTCTTGGCCTTTCGTATGTAGTTCCACATTCTGTACTTTATCTTGTCAGATAGAATTTGTTCCATTCATTCCTTCATTAACATTATTTAGACATAGTCTTTCTGTCGAAGCAGGCATCATTACTGACAGTGTTGATATTGTAGTTACTAATTTCTGCCTTCATTCTTCAAATATCTCATTTAATATTTCTGATATTATAACAGTTTTGTGTCATTTTGTAAGTCCCAACTTTAACTGACATCAGGCTTGTATTTTTTTTTCTTCTGCTTAAAATCTTTAGTCCCCTCTAGTGTCCAGTTTCTAAAATCATCACTTTTCTTTATATTTCTGATATTATAACAGTTTTGTGTCATTTTGTAAGTCCCAACTTTAACTGACATCAGGCTTGTATTTTTTTTTCTTCTGCTTAAAATCTTTAGTCCCCTCTAGTGTCCAGTTTCTAAAATCATCACTTTTCTTTTTTTTATATAAGTTTTCAAATACAAAGATAAAAAACTAATACAAACTAAGGAAATTATAAAGAGTTAAAGTAGAAGAATGAGAAGTGCAGAGCCATAGAAAAGAAAGAAAAAAAGAAAGATATATAAAAAATGATTCCCCCCCCTCCAGACAAGTATAAATAGTTTCAGTAATTTAACACCTTTCATGAAAGAATTCTCTTCTTCCCATATCTCATCTCTTTATCAATAATCAAATTGTAAAAATTAATCTTTCAATCCTAATCAGCAAAAGTCCATTTAGAGCTACCAAAAATAATAATATGTATTTTAACCTTAATCGAAGAAATCCATTTTATTGTCCAATTTGTCACTTTCTCTAGAAAGTAAAGCAAAAGAAATCCCTTCCCACTCATACACAAATCCTAAAAACCTCATCCTTCAGTCCTGGTCAAAAAGAAATCCCATTGGTAACTACCAGAAACCACAACTTATATTTTAACCATAGTCAATATAGATTCACTTTATAAATCTTTTTACTTTCAAAAAGTTTAATCTTTAATCCTGGCAAATAATGTCCCACAAATTGATTCCTTGCCATTTTCTCTTTGTCTTCTTTCAGGAACAGGCTCAATAGTTTCTCTTTGTCTCTTTTCAGGAACAGGTTCATTAGTTTAACACATCCCTTTTGTAAATTCATAATAAAAAGGCTTTCCAAATCACTTTTCTGGTTTATTATTTGTATGTCCCCTTTCATCTATAAATCCATTTTAGCATCATCTTTTTCCATTTTCAGATCCAGAACATCTTTTTCCAAATCACTTATGATCCATCATTTTTTTGAACTCCAAATCCATATTCAAATCAGCCTCAGTCTGTTTTCTCCAATGAAATCTGTTCTTCGGTATCTTCTATTAAAGTGCCAGACATTCTTTTCAGTAATTTCTGGGTACTTTGCTCCCAAACCACCTTAAACTCTTCTATAGTCAAATAGTATTGCTTCATTGTATTAATGGATCTCTTCCCCCTTAAATGCAATAGGTTGTTCTCTCTGGTTCCCTCAGTCAAGTCCCCTTATCTGGTTATTTTCCAGACAAAACTTTCCCACTGGAAGATTTCTTAAGTTAGTTTCAAAATCTTCATATATTTGTTTAGTAATTTTTAAACACCCCACAGGAAATATTCTTTCAAGTCCATCTAGCCTTTTAACTTTTCAACCCCTTTTGCTGTTCAAAAAGTAAATTTTTTCTTTTTAATCCTTAGACTAACACGTAGCTTCTTTCATCCAAGGTAGAAGTTTAAGTTTTATACTTAAACATATCCCAGTGTAATAAAACTTGCCCTTCAAAACAACTTCCTAAAATAAGTAAGAGAGGAAGAAGGTGAACCCAGTGTTCCTTTAAGGGCACTGAACCACAGCTTAGGCAGGATGTTTTTCTCTCAGCTCCCAGAATTCTCAAACCCACTGGAGATCACTATTTTCGGTCTTTTCACAGGGAGATTCTGTTTGGGACAAACTAGTGGGCGATCCTTGTCCTCTTCTTTATCTAGAGAGGAATTCTGAGGAGTCGATCCCTTCTCCAGCTCCTCTTTCTGCCATGGTCATCAGCTCTGTGAAAGTGGAGGTGTCTTCAGTCCATTACTGTCCCTTATCTTTTCTGATGACTTGCAATAACCAGGATAGTCAAAATAAGTTTGTTTCCTAAGGGAAGTTGTTTATTTTTTTATACTTAAACATCTTATAGTAAAAGTCAATATTCCAAATTTCATCTGTTTATCTTCCTTCCCTTCATCTGTTTATAACTTTCTTAGATCAAAGTTTTATTTAGCTTTTTGCTGTTTATTTCAAAATATTTAAATTCTTAAGCTTGTAATTAATTTTTCTTTTGTTCAGAGTTGAAGATAAACTCCCCCAATGAAGACTTTTCAAACTTGTCTCTAATAGCTTTAAGATGGTTAATAGGCAATTTCTGAAAGTGATTAGAAAGTGAGGTTTGCAAACTTAGCGTTGTTTAAAAGGCTCTGCTGTGATTGTGAGCAAGATGGTCAGTCCCATCATCTCTTGGCATTCAAACCCATGGAAAACTGCTGTTCTGCAGTGTCCTTGTGAGGAACAGCCATCTGGAGCTCATGTGGGCAGTCTCCCATCCTCCCCTTATCTGGAGAGGTTCAAGGAACTGGTCTGCTCACCGATTCCTTTGTCGTTGCCACAGTCGTTGGCTCCACTTTTGTAGAGCTATATTCGGTTCGCCATACCTCCCTTGGAAATCTAGACTGCCTGCACTTACTACTGCAAGGACACTTCATCTCCTCCCACCTACCCGTTTCCTCCCAACTCTGCCCTTTCGGTCGTCCTGGTCTCCGCTCACTCTGCCAGCCCTGCCACCCCCAGTTGACCTTTGCTGTCTTCCTCCTGCTGCTGAGAAGGCGCGCCCAGCCTGGCCCTTTGCGGGGCATCTGCTGGCTGCATCAGGCATTCTTCCTGAGGCTGTATGCGGCCTTGTCCAAATCACATGCAGCTTTCTTGCGAGGCCTTCCAAAGCCCCATGAGAAAGCTGCATGCAGCCTTGGGAAGGCCAGGTGAGGTGTGCCTCGTCAGCATGGGAGGAAGAAAGACAGCAAAGGTTAGCTGTGGGTCAGGGCCAAGAGAGCTCAGAGGTGGCAGAGTGCAGGGGAGCCAAAAGGGCAGAGATTGGGGGGGAGATAAGCAGGTGTGGAAGTTGAAGAGGAGGCGGTCCCTTACCGTACCAAGGCTCAGGGCTGGGAGGTATCAAATTGGGAATGGCTTGGATCGGGGTGGGCCATTGCCTAACGACTAGGTGGGATTCAGTAAATGATAGCAATGGGGAGTGCCAGGATTGCCATCACTAAGTGATGCAGTCATGTGGCGTCGTGCTATATGACTGCATCACTTAGCAATAGAAATTCCCATCCCAATTACTGTTGTTAACCAAGGACTACCTGTATATAACTTTAGGCAAATCATCTCTCTTAGCTTCTTACCTGATCTCCAGATGTGGCAAAATGCTTGGCATGTTATAAGATTTGCAGCTGATTGGCACGTTACCCTTTGGAGGCTCCTGAAACATTGTTTTGTAGATACTTCCTGATTTTGGCATCATTTTGGAATGGAAGTGAATCATTGGGGTACATCCAATATCACAAAAGCATGTCCCATTAACCTCAGCCCGCATGTGCCATCCAAAAAAGGAAAAGGACGTTTGAACTTCCGCAAGTGCAATACTATCTGCTATTCTGCTTGCAGGACTGAGCACTACCCCTTTTGTTTTCGTGATGCCCGGAAATCACACTGTGATATTTCAGTGAGAAATGGTGTGATTTCTTTCTGATTTTTAACGTAACACAACAAAACATAGGTATGCTATGCGAGGGGGAGGCATTTAGTAGGCTGCATGTGCCCTGCCCTCCCCCCATTTGACATAACTCACATTTAATAGCATAATTGTTTTTTTGATGCAGCTTTTCATGGTTTTGGTGTAGATGGATGTATTAAGTCTTCATCATACTTTGCTTAATGGATCAGTTTGCTCCTTAAAACTTCAAGAAAAAAGCTACAAATTTCAGGGGCTGTCCCATCCATTGCCAGCTGCAGTCTTTAGGGGACTGAAAAAAGAAACACTTAAACACAAAGATACATCTCACCACCACAGAAATGTTTGTCTGCTCAAATTCAGGCAGATAATAGATAGTATTTCCCACCATAGATGCCTGACATCACACAGCAATGCTTGCATTGGCTCTCAGCTGCACAAAACAACACGGGAAAGTAATGTGGCTCTTGGGCCACAAAAAATTAACCATCCCTGTGCTAATATATTAACATAATTGCTCTAGCCTACAGTAAATGTTGAAACTGTGGATGGAGCACCAACTTTCTGGAAAATCAAAATAAGTATATTTATATATAAAATATAAACTTTACTAGTTGGGCAGGAATTCCTGTCTGTTGTTCCAGAGAGATCCAATGTTGGAACCTCTAATATGACCAAAGGCCTGCTGGTGCAAGTTCTGGCAAGGCAGAAGGTGGGTGTTCATATTTTTTGTCATGTCCTTCTCTTCAGTTGATATAAATGTTTGTACTACACGCCATTATGGTTTCATGGTGGATTGCAATATTAGGAAAATTATATACCTCTGAGGCTGGCATTACATTTCCCCTAGGTAGAAGTATATCTGATGATGATGAAAAGCTCTGCTAACACACTTAGTGATCAACCCCAAATTGATTCTGCTTTTCCTCTTCAGAGTTAGAAAGATAAAAAGAGCTAAAAAATTCAGCAGGGTCTGTGAGTATGGTACCACGTTCAGATGTCTGTCTAACTTTGGAGAAGGAAATCCATTTATCTTACAGACTCTCAGACCCCATCTGAAAACACGGATCTGTATTGCAACATATAACAATGTATTTAATTTAAAAAATAGACATTTTTTATTCAAACAGCACTAAACAAATGCAACCTATGCTAGGGATGGAGCTGCAGCCAAGGGTGTCTAGCATAGCTTCTAGCCATTTGGGGAAATATTTTGCAGTTTGAAATTGACCTAGTAGAAAACGGGTGGTTTATTGGTATAATTTCACAAATAAATATTGGTGCTGAAAATATTACATTATAATTCTACTTGAACATTATTGAACAGTACAGTATTAACGTTGCATAAAGCTTCAGTCCTGTTTCTGTTCACTACAGAAAGATTCAGCAGCTGCTGGATAAAGTAATAATTTTCTTACTTGTTGCAATCGATGTGCAGGAAAATAAACAGGAAAAATAATTGGTTGATAAAAATATAATACAAAATCATGAATGAACTTGCAAGAACAAAAGCACACTTTAATAGTGCAGCTGAATCAGCTTAGTATCTTTCCTAATTTGTTGAAAAGTTGAATAATATCTCAAGGATTATATATAATTATGTACAATATATAAATATAAAGGATGGTTTGTTTTGGTAAAGTTTAGATATATATATATATATTTTTTATAGTGAGCAGAAGACTACAGAACACTTGACTAGGACACTTCGTGGAGTGATGCGTGTTGGTCTTGTAGCAAAAGGCCTCTTGCTGAAGGGAGACTTGGATCTTGAGCTGGTTCTGTTATGTAAAGAGAAACCCACTGTTGGTCTATTGGAAAAAGTAGCCGACAATCTCAGCACACAGCTTGCTGTGAGTATAAAAATAGGCTTATACGTACTGTCCTAATGTTATTTTTAATAAAGGTATATAATGAACTGTTCGTTCTGTGTTACTGGACTAACTATGGAGTTTGGTATGCCGGCAAGCTTGCAGAGTTCATGCTGTTCATACAATAGGACCTATTCAGGGTTTTGTGATATCCTCTCATACAGCTATAGTGGACTTAGAATACACCTAGTAGTGCTGTAAAGTCTTTATCATTAAAACTTTCTAGATGTTGAATCATTCATGACCCTTTTTAAAAAAAATACTGCTTAAGAAGTTCTCTGCTTCTGATGTCCCTCCTGGTAATTAACTATGCTGATTTGATTCCATGGTATACTGAACAAATGCATTTATTATATTTATAATGTGCGTGCATATATGTAATTCAAGTAAGTAATTCAAATTACTCAGACCAATTGGGGGCTTCAAGTGTGTCTGTAAATATCCTGTTAATATTATTTTAGAACAATACATACTTCACAAAACTTTTAGATTGCCTCTAGGAATATTCTGTCATGGTTATCAGTAGTGGTTGATTTACTACTGTGAATACAAATATAATGTAAATCAGCAGTGATAACAGTTTTATTAGCCAATAAGTACCTTCCCTAATTTTCTCCAGTATTTATACCACAACTCCTGGAAGACAGTTAAAAAACAAAAGAAAATGGCATTTCTTCTTTCTTGTAGTCAGCTTTTCTTTTTTGCCTGCCCTCAGTAGTAATAGGTCCCCACACACACACACACACACACACCACCCCCCGGGCTTTTCTAGCTAAGATGGTAAAATCACAGATACCAGAGTATACTATTTTTTGAAGATTTGGCCGCTGATGTAAAAGGTGGACATCCCTGAGGTATAACTGATCCTAAATCACTCTTGATTGTATTAGTTATTCTGAAAGGAATATGTTTGTCCGTGAACTCTAAAGTGAATGTTTGGGAAGAGACAAGAAGCTGAGAATCTAAAGTATTTTCTTGTGTTTCAGGCAATTACTGAAGACAAATATGAAATTATTCAATCTGTCAGTGATGCTGCAATTACAATTAAGAATACAAAAGAACCTCCACTGACACTTACCATTCACTTGACATCTCCTGTTGTCAGAGAAGAAATGGAAAAAATGTTAGCTGGAGGTATGGAAGACTGAAAATTGCTAGCAGCCCCAGAAAGAGTTTCCAGACTGACTTCACTATTCATTGTGGTGTTCAGTTTCTTGATTAGGCAGAGCAATTTCATGCAAGTCAACTTTATGTCACAGTGTTATACAGTTTCATGATTATGGACCATCTGGTACAGGCTTCTAGAATTTGAGTGGCATTTCCAAATTAAATGCTTTTTTAAACATTTAGGCCTTTTGGTCTGGCCTAAGCCTTTATACAAGTGTATTAGTTCACTTGTGTGTAATATTGTTTCTTTATTAAATGTGAATATTGATTATAGGTGATATATGTGCAAACCAAAATCTGTTAAAATACTGGTGTTTTAGCTTAAAAAAACTTTTGCATGTTCGTGAAATTCAGTGTATTACATAAAGCAGTTTGTGTTGCAGCAAAAATGATTACCTTTTTGTGTTTTTTTCTTTAGTTTCAGCCTGTTTAGCTGAATTTTAAAATGCAATGCAGAGTTTTGGATAAAGTTACTGTATCTTTTGTTTTATTTAAATGTGGGCTAATTCACATGCATACACAATTACAATCTTAAAATTTGGAGCTGAGCTTACAGAAAGCAGTTCATGTATAGTATTTGATACTACAAAATGTCTGGTATATTATGTAATTGCTATTCTCATGCATGACTGTCATACAAATTGCTGGATCATGTGAGGTGGAATTCACACTGACATTTTCATGTGTGATTTAAACAGTGAATTTTTCAGTAGCCAGGTGAGCCATGCATACGCTATGCTGAAACACTAAAAATTTTTAAATGATTGAACTAGCCTTATCTAAAACCCTGGCTTTTTCCTTTCTTCAGTTTTGCTGCAGCACAGACTTGATATTAATTTGTTCCCTGATTGTTTTATGGTTTGATATCTGACACATCTACCAAGCCTTCTAGTTTGTCGATTTTAGGGACGCTGGACCTTTGACCAACAGGACGCACTCTGTCATGGGCTGGGGCCAGGGCAGTCGAGCCTTGTGGGCGGAGGGGGTTCCTTCTAGAAAAGCTCTTAGTTATGTACTATTACTGGATATAGAATGGGAATCTAATTTTAACCTTCCATTTTTTTGGTTAGGGTAGTTCTATAGCCTGGTTACAATAGTCTAGAAGCTGTCCTTTTCTGTAAGGTTGCTTTCCCTGTATAAAAATGAGTTAATGCCTCACATTGTTCTCCTTACTTAGTTGTCACTTCATAAGGATGAAAAAAATATAATGTATTGAGGCTATACTTCCAGGTACAGGGCTTTAGATCAGAGTTCTGGGAGCCTCAGCTGCCCTTTAGGAAACTGCCTCATCCCCTCTCCACCCGACAGAACCCCCTTGGTCAAACTGTACCTTGTCTTCTTATTCCACCCACGAATAGAAACGCTATCAGTCAACGACTCACCGGACGTTCTGGACAGGCAGAAATGCCTTGCTGCCTTGGCGTCACTCCGACACGCCAAGTGGTTTCAGGTTTGCATTTTGTTCTTATATTTGTCTTTAAGTAGAAAACTTGTAAGTTGTAATTGCCTAAATTTGTTAAAATGTTTTAATGTGAGTTGTAGATGTGCAGAACTTAGCATCTGTTAAAGGCACAGTTGCTAAAGAAGCACTTGAATGAATTTAGTTTTTCAGAGAAATGGCATAATTCCTAGTTGCTGCTTTGTGTTAAGAGTAAGTTTTCATACACAGTAACTAAAATTACAGAAATAAAAAGCTATGGAAATATATACATAGTTTACCCTTGACAAAGTAGCACTACAAAATTTATATTTTGTCTCAAATTGGCTTTGACATTCATTACTGAACCCTTCTTGCTTATTCATTTGTTCTAGGCCAGGGCAAATGGCTTGAAATCATGTGTCATAGTCATCAGAGTGCTGAGAGATCTCTGTACCCGTGTTCCTACTTGGGCTCCACTTAGAGGATGGGTAATCTTATGAGCTATATTTCGTTTTCAGTGTACAAATGTGTAATAAGATAAAAATGTTCTATACATAATGGCAGACTGTTCTATTTTTTTAATAATAAAGAGCTCTTGTAAAATTAGGCAATCTTAAAATGTCCTCATCTTTTCAGAGCTCTTTAGTAGGACATTGGCTGAATGTGGCCTCCATCAAGAAGTTATTGTGCAGCACAGACTTCTGTAGATGATGGGAGTTGGGGAAAATCTTTCTAGGTTTTGTCTTGAGTGTTTAGAAATATGTTACTTAACCAGTCTCCGATATCATTGAACCTCCAGTAAGGCCTGTCTAATGATTGAATTCCAAAACTGATGCTTTTAGAAGTGGACAGTCAATAGTACACTATTGTAGAATATTCCTGGTTTCTTAATGGAAATAATGAATCTTTACTTTATTAATGTGCTTCTAATACTGTACTTATAATGATAGTGTCATATCAATATTTCATGGATGCTGTTAGACTTTTCCCCTCTTCCATTCACACACATATGGCAGACCTTCAGGCAAGCTGGCCTGTTGCTGCCAAATATGTTCACAAGTAATAAATTAAATCCTAATGTTGTTTGTAACAAAATGAGGTTGAACTGAAGACCATGTGCTCATGAATCACCACTTAAAGGATTTACAATAAACTAAATACTGATTGGTGTCAAACTATTTTTGCCATCGTCTTGCAGTTGCAAAGAACTTGCAGTTACAAGGAAAATGGCTGTTAAAGAGATTGAATAAGTAAATCAAAATTCACATACCTATCTGTGATAGGCAGAAAGGCCCAAGAGTTAATGGTAAACTCTGCAACCAAGCTGATAGTTGCATTTCTCAGATTCTGCTGGACAAATGACTCAAGTTTGGTAGAATTCAGGCTTTTGTAGAAGTAACTTTGCAGTCATCTGAAGACTGTGAATTAATTGTTTTGGACACTTATGAATAGAATTTAAACACTTAATATTATATGTGGCATTCATGCTTCCCCATCTGAATATTGTGCCAGAGAAATTATTTGGAAGTAGAAATGTCATCCACATACATTTTGCATATCTGACAACATCTTGTTTCTTTCCTACATCTATAATCAGCTAATATTATTTGATTAATAATATTAATATTTAAATAATAAATTATTTAATTTAAATACATTTAAAACAACAATAATAATAATAATTATTATTATTATTATTATTATTATTATTATAAAGATTATGATCAGCTAAGATCTTAAGGGTGCTATGCTAGCAGTGGCAATTCAAGAGAGGTTCCTGATACAATTATTCTATTTTATTTCTACCTGCAATCAAATGATTTTCCATACTTCCAAGCTATATAAACAAAACCAAAACATCCACAGTAAGATTCAAAACAATCACAACAGCCTGTTGGGGGGCTGTTCCAAAATACTGGCACTGCCACAGAAAAGCAGCACCATCTAGCCTCAGCCTCTCAAACCTCTTAGAAATGCAGGATTACAAGAAGCTTCTCCCTAGCTGATCTAACTCTTAAGTGGTCAGGCTGATAGTTGGATCAGATGGTCCTGAAGGTATCCACATGACAAGCCATATTCACGTGACAAGCCATGGGTCAATACCAGCACCTTAAATTGTACCCTAAATGTAATCAGTATAAGTGTAGGACCTATAAAATCACTGTTAAATATTCCCAGGGGTGAGCACTAGCAAGCACATAGGCCACCACATTTTGAAACAGTTGCAATTTCCAAGTAGACTTTAAGGGTAGCCCTGTGTAAAGCACATCACAGTAGTCAAGAGGGCATGAGTTACTGTAGCCAGGGCCCCTTCCCCAAGGTACAGCCACTAGCTGAAGCTAGGCATAGGCCACTCTGGCTGTGGCTTCCATGTACTGATGAAGCAGCAGCTGTGAGTCCAGAAAACCCCCCCCAAATAACAAACTCCTTCCTTCTTTCCTTCACTTGCTAGATGGAAAAATCTAAAGCTTTTTTGGCTAGGACTCGTTGTGACAGTAAAAATGAATATACTACCCAAGTTGAATTACCTGTTCCAAATGGCACCAATTGTAATCCCAGACAAGAGCTTGCAGGATTGGCAGAGAAAAATTGACATTTTTATAGTGGGGAAAAACCCTGAGTAAAATTCAAAATTTTGCAAAAATCAGAAGAAAGAGGCGGGCTTGCATTTCCTAACTTTAAATTACAGGTAGTCCTTGTTTAGCAACCACAATTGAGACCGGCAACTCGGTTGTTACGTGAAGAGGTGGCTAAGTGAAACCACTCATCTTACTTCAGCTTTCCTTTGCTTTAACAGACCTGTGAAGGTTGTGGTCACAAAGTTATTTTTTTCATCACTGTCATAACTGCAAACAGTCACTAAATGAGACAGTTGCTGAACTAGGACTGCCTGTATATTGTTGTGCAAGCTGCCTATCATGAT